AAACCTTGCTGATTGAACCTGCATGGTCTCCAGGAGTTCTTTGGGCTAGGCCTGACAATCATGAGTGAAACTGCCGATAGCTTGTCTCTGCAAACAGACTTCCTCCAGTTGGTTTGTTCATCATGAGCTGACGTCAGTTACATAAGGCCCGTGAATGGAGGAAGTCTGTTTGCAGGGACAAGCTATTTCACTCATGATTGGAGGCTCGTGATAGAAGGAAGCCTGTTTGCAGAGACAAAGTTGTGGCAGTTTCACAACTGTGCGGTTCTCTCCTCGGCTTACTTCCTTGCATAAGACGCCCTTCAAGTTTTAGTGTAACGATTTTAGAAAAAAGTATCATCCTAGAGACGGAAAAATACGGTATTTATTATTTTCTGTTTAAGTGTATGAGCCACCTGGAGTCACGTATGTGAGTGACCACGTAAATTGAATAAATACATAAATTAACAAAGAGCCCTTTTTCTTATTTTTATCAACAATCTGAAACTCTTTCACATTGTACTAAATCATGCTGAAAAGCTCCTTGTTTTTCCCTTCCCCATCCCAACCTTTATACTGTATATGTATAACATTATGAAAGAAATTTTAGGTTTTTTCAGTTTCGTTTAGATTAGTTTTTTTTTAAAAAAAAGAAAAGATGATGCATATTGCAATCTGCCATGAAACTGTTGAAAAACAGCTAAGTTTATTTATTTATATAGACATTTATAAGCTAACTACTTCTGAGAACTCAGGGGGGCGTTGTATGTGCATGTGGCATTTTATGGGAATGATTTCCCTCTGACTTTCTCTTGTATGAAATCAGTTCCCATCAGTTTTTATACCTCACCAGCACAGTATGTGCCAAACAGTTCTTGTCATTCTGAAGCTCCAGAAAGTTGCTGAGCCTGCTAACTCAGTCCTGGTTTGTCATTTTCTTAAAAAATGCATGTAGTCATGTCAAATGCTACTCCAGTTTTTGAGACAAAGTTAGAAATATAAACAAACATCTCCCTCCCTCCAAACCTGCCAAATTTTCCCTTCCTTTTATACACCCTGCTAATTGTTATAAATTATACCTTTTTAAAAGCAAGAAGACACATACCTTTTCATGGAAGAAAGCTGGAAATGCCCTCTTTATGCATATAGGAATTGAATTTGATCTTTGTGTCCTCTTTATTTCAAGAAGTATAAAACGTAAGTGAAAGAAACAACAGCACTTTGGCCAGATAAACAAGAGATATGAGTTACATATTAACCACAGTTTTTTGTATATCTCTTCCTGTACAGGTACCCTGCTTACCTGAAGCCATGTACTACAGTGTTTGTTTTCTCTTCAGCGGTCCAGCAGTTTCAATGTCTTCATTTCCTTCAAACGGCAAAGAAGAGCAGGGGCTTTTGAACTTTTTCAGGCTGTGGAACATGTGTGTTTCTGAATTCTGAACCCCCACTTCCTGTCTTTCAGATACACACAGAGAGGGATTGTCATGAGTACAAAACCCCCTGGGGTTGTGGGCTTCCTAATGCCATCTGATGAGCTCCAATCTTTCCATTCCTCCTCAGAAAAACTGCTATTGATACCTCTTGCTGCATCTGAGGCTTTGGGGGGGGGGGGCTTAGTCTCTCCTGTAACCCCACAGAACAGTTTAAAAAACCCTGATCTGTTGTACAGTAGTGATTACTGTATATTCATTACCTGAATTATTTCTTCATTTCAAGGAGAGGATCATGATGGGATCGGAAAATTTCTGACAGATATTTGGAAACCATTCAGATTCTTCATTGCAATTAAAGTAGGCCACTGTTTTTGCAGAGGTGTAAGAAAACCTACTCAGAAATGTATGCAATCCAGATCTCATCAGGACCTGGATCAGTGATCCAGACACTAAAAAGTATCCCACAGATTACTCTTTCCTACTCCTATATAGAAGTCTGATCCATTCTATAATCTTGTATCTGCATTGACCCAAAAGAATTTGAGGCAAGCTGGTAGGCTTTGACCATGGTGAAACCCAGCTTGCTCCAGATAGTTTTAGTGCCTTCAACATAACCTCCAATGCCATTTTTCTCATGTTAAGCAGGGGAACAGAAAGCAGTGTAAATTATATACTAACAGAATCTCAATTCTGTCTTAGCATCATTATTCTGAATTTAACAGTTTAAGTATTTTTGTTTTTGAATAATGCCTGGATTGTTTTTAGGTTCCTGCCTTTCCACTTGGATTCTGTGGCTGTAACTATGTACATCTGGGGGACAGCTTAATGAGATGTAGTTGTCTTGAAATGCCTGGCTTATAAAGTCTATTGTCTTGCTTTTTGCTTGCACCCAGTATCTCAGAACCCCAGCCTTTGAGTATTACCTGGAGAGAGGACAACCAGCTTGTTCTAAGCAAGATCCTTAACAGGTGTCCTTAAATGCTACCGAACATGGGAAAAGACCACATCTAATGACCTATAGTTACAGAGTTTTTCTCCACTTTGTCCTCTGGTGAAACCTTCACAAGATTAACCTTTCACAAGGACCACTTCTTACCTTCTATGCTGTGAGTTGCAGTTTGTGGTTGTCTCTCTGAAAAGGAGGGAAATCTTACTATTGTACTTTGGGGAAGAGAAAGTCTCTTCCCTGATGAAAACCTGGGGGAGACACTGGTCATCACCCCGTGAGTTCAGAACCTTGTAAAATACCCATTGGCAATCCCTGTAAGAAAGTGAGATTTATCTGCTGCAATAGAATTATGAACACTGTATATTTTGTTCTTAAAATAAACAAGAACTGTCTGTATTACAGTCACCCCTCCTTGTTTTTCTCTGTCTCATTTCTCTTCCTTACTGCTAAATTTTTGAAATCTGGGAGAACTGCATACTTATACTAACTTTTACTTGTGGAATTTTATAGGTGCCTAAGATGTTGGCTATATGAAAGGAAGGAGGTTTCAAAATGTCTCCAATGACCTCCACTGACAGATACCACATTCTTCTGGGTCCACAGTTGTAATTTGGAATATGTCTATACCTGTTCAGAAGAAGAGTCAGGGTGTTCTGATAAGTCATCCTTGGTTCAAAATAGTTTCAAAGATTTGGAATCCTAAACTAATGTCAGCTAACATTTTGCAGTTCTTCTTGATTTCATTCACAGCAAACACCAGAGACAGAACCTGCCAGTAATTCTTTAGGACTGTACTAAAACAACAGTTACACAATGTGGAAGCTGAATTTATTTTTAACCTCTCTTCAGTAAGTGCCTGCCCCAGTGTGTGTCAAGAATCCAGTTAAGGTACACCTTTTAGATTGAAGCATACAGCTATTATACTATAACTGGACAGAACTGGTGGAGTGTAATATGAGGACAATGCCAAGAAAGTACTCAAACCTCTAGTCATTAAAGTTTAAAGCTTAATTCTAAAGTCCAGCTCAGGATATTATAAAATGCCCAAGACCTGTATAACAGAAAAGGCAATTACTGTTCCTTATACTCTATTATTATTGTAACTGATGCTGAGTTAAGAAGTCAAAAGAATATAGAAATATGGGCACAGTAATGAATGTAGTATCAGTAAGAAGAAAGCCAACGGAAAGGGAAAATCATGTGGAATTTAAATAATAGAGAATGCAGATACAATGCTAGAAGTTCCCATACACTCTGAAACATTTTCAATCAGATAGTAAATTAGACTTCTTTCTGGCAGGTTCTGCTACCAAATAATGGAAATAGAAAATTATCAATCACTCACTATATCACAGCTTTCTTCGAAAGGTAGGGAAAAGTGTTCTTATGTGGGCCCATCCAGCTGCTTCATTTTTGGAGATTCTCTGGAAGTTGGTAAGTCAGCCAAAGTTGAGACACAACCCCCCAATGCCAAAGTCACCGGTGATAATATTAATGCAGGAAAAGAAGGGGATCTTTCATGCTGCTCATAAGACCAAATGCCTGGAACTCACAAATAGGCAACAGCAACAGAAAGAAGAACAGTAGCAAAAAAAAAAGTGGCAGTATGAGGGACCACCGAATCAATGATTGTTCAAGATGGAATCTGTGATTCCCATCTTGACGTGATATGCAGGTTTTCCCCATCACATTTCGTTCTCCGCCCCCCACATTTAAACGACCTGTAAATTCAAAAAGAGAAAACCTCCAGAGGAATAACTGATGAAGTGCTTTATGTTCAAAGGCCCTCATCTCATTTTAGCAAGTTACACAGATAACTTCAATATTTTTTTTCAGAGTTCTTTTATGATTAAACTGATGTTTAATGTTAGCCTTAAAAAACAAAACAAAACAAAATTGACTATATTAATCTGAAGTAATTAAAGATCTCAGAATTACCTCCGCAAAGTATTCATTTCTTCATGGCGCTGTGGAAGAAAACATGTTTGTTACCTGCAGCAACAGTCTTAGCCCATGTCATTAACTTCTCAAAGAATCTGTGCAGGCAGGGATTTTTTGTTCTTTTTGAGGCATCTGTGCTGAATTTGCAACAATGGTTGTGATGAAGTGAGATGTTCTTTGCTACATTGCACCATACATCAGGAATATTTTGCATTGTGTTACGTACAGAAACAAACTGAATTTACTGAGTCTCTATTCTGTCCTTTAACAGACAGGATCAGAGGCGTCCACAGGTGGTTCAAAAAGTCAAGATGCCGTCCACAATTGTGCAGTTGAAGCCATTCCCCTTTTTATGTGCAGACATACTTGGATTGGATCTTGATTAAACTAAACATAGATTATTTAGAAATGGAAGGGCCTTAAATTAATCAGAGATGTTCTCTTTGATTTCAATGAGATATATGAACTACCGAGCATTCAATCCCCAAGTTAATTATCTCATTCCCAATTCTGAGTTATTTGCCTATATCTGAAATATTTACTAACATTTCAGGAATCATACCTTACATAGACAACCAAATCAATTATTTCTCCTAAAAGTAGAAAGAATGAAACAATATTTGAAATGCCAGTTTGAGACATTACTACATTTTTAAACTCTCTTTTCTTCGGTTTTAAAATGGCTGTAATAGCAGGAAGAACTAATCAACCCTTGTAAATGGATGGAACCTGCTTAAAAGTCTTTGTTTGGGCCTATGTATTTTGCCCTTTTATTGCCTGTTTATTTTCTTTATTAGTTGGTTCTTACAGTTTAGTTCAGGCCTTATCACAATTACATACAATTTTGGACAGAAGATACAAACAAGTAATCCAGCACTGGAAGCCAAGATGGAGAAGACTTCCACAGCCACCATATATTTCCCCTTGGTGCTCAGGTAGGTGGGGACAAAAGAGACCCAGACACAGCAAAACACCAGCAAGCTGAAAGTGATGAACTTGGCTTCGTTGAAAGTGCTGGGCAGGTTCCTAGCAAGGAAAGCCACAACAAAGCTAATGAGAGCCAGGAATCCCATGTACCCGAGGACATAGTAAAACCAGGGGGCTGAGCCTTCATTGCATCCAAGCACAGTTTCTTCAGCCAAGGAATGATTGTCCAGATCTGGGTATGGAGGAGCAGTAGAGAGCCACAAAGAACAGATCCCTACTTGCATCAAGGAGCAGAAGATGACTACAGAATTGGCCAATTTTTTGCCCACCCACTTCCTCATCCTGCTGCCTGGCTTGGTGGTCATGAAAGCAACAACCACTGTGATGGTTTTGGCCATTATAAAAGAAACCGCTGTGGAGAAGATGATGCCAAAAGAAGTTTGTCGGAGGTAGCAGGAGACTGGGTGAGGTTGTCCAATGAATAGGAGAGAGCAGAGGAAGCAGAGTGCAAGACAGATGAGCAGAGAGTAGGTGAGGTCCCGGTTGTTGGCTTTGACGATGGGGGTATTCCTGTGTTTGATGAAGATCCGGTTGTTGGCTTTGACGATGGGGGTATTCCTGTGTTTGATGAAGATCCGGTTGTTGGCTTTGACGATGGGGGTATTCCTGTGTTTGATGAAGATTCCTAGCACAAAAAGTGTGATCAGAGAAAAAAACAGAGCCAGGAAAACTAAAATGACCCCCAAAGGTTCATGATGAGAAAGAAAGTTTGGGAACTTAGGAAGGCATATATTTCTGTCCTCATTTGCATATTGATCTTCTGGGCAACTGTAACAATCATCTGAATCTGAAAAATAGAATATGTGCCATTGCTGTTCCTCAACTATATCACATGGAGATTGGCTTAACAGGTAGAATGGAAATGGAGAAGTGAACTTTTATCCACCTGCCTTCTTTCCCTTTTGCTTAAGAGCTTCAACAGAGAGATCAAATTACTTGGACATATCAAGATCACAAACTAATTGCAATGAATTCAACCAGTCTCAGGTAAAACACTCTGACTGGGGATAATTTGACCATTTCAGTAGAAAAAATGCATGGATTCTTAGCAAAGAAACTCCCAAACCTGCAAATTAGATGCAGCTGGATATTCATGTTTGATATAAATTGAGAATAAAATTGGGATTAAGAGTGGAAAGTGGCATAAAGTAAGAAAAACAATTCAGCAAACAGTCTTACTTTTCTTTCTTAGGAGGATCCTGGCTGAGTAGTGAAAACTTTCCTCTTGGAGTTTTACAAAGGATGGCAGACCTCATTTCACTGTCTCTTACCTTTCTCATGTGATGTCTTCCCTGTTGGGCACTGGGTGCAACCATAGCAACAAAATGGCTTTCCTTCTTTCCTTTTCCTGCTATATCCTGGATGGCATTTCTCATTGCACACTGCAAGGGGCAAGACCTGTGCATAAAATATCAAGAGCTTGAGACAGTTAACAAAGAATCAGTATGCCTTGCATGAAGACCAGGGAAAGAATATGGTATATTTTGTACTCTGAAGGGACAGTCCAACCAATAATATTTATTTTAAGAAATTTTGCCAACTAGAACATTGTTTTAATGGCATTTTCCATATTATTGTGCCCTTGTATCCTTACAAGGGAGAAGTTAAGAATGAAAGAATTCTTAATTAAAGCAAAGTTTCTGCAACATTGATTTTTTGTTTTGTTTTTTTGATGACCAGTATTTATCCCTTCTGCTACTTCAAGGTGATTTGTAAAAAAAATGGAATGGAAGAAATCTAAAAATTCTAAAAATCAAAATATGGACAAAAATGTTTTAAAAATGGTAAGTATGCCATTAGGTAAAGAAATATTCAGAAAGAGAGAATAATATTTGATGTTATATACTGGTGAATGGATATGACACAGTTTGCCAATTAGATTTCTGAAAAATATAAATAATTTTAAAAATGTTACTTTGTACTTGGAAGCATTCTGTTAAAAAAACAATCATGTTATTTGTTACTAAAGTTAAAATAGCCGACCAGGTAGTAAGTCATCCTAGGATATGTGACATCAATGTACAAATCCTTACTCATCTATGAAAATTATTAGGAAACCCTGACACTTTTACACATCCTCACTTGTGAAACCACAGCATTTTGGGGTGGTAGAAAGAAAATGATGTGCTTCTATATACAATCATGAGCATCTCAGAACTGTGAAATCAAAATGTAATTTAAAGAATCCTTAAGTTTCAAAAACTGTTATTTTCTATTACAACATTTTTTTAAATAATTATCACTATCAAGCTTGTTGATAACTTCCTTCCTTTAGTTATGACTTCGGTGATGTAATCAAATTTCATTTGATAGTATTTCACTTATCAGTTAATTCAGTTAGTATAACCGTTACATGCCCAAGTATAATCCAAACTTCTACACCGGGATCAGTGCTTTCCTAAGGTGTCTGACCTACAATAGAGAGATGAACATGAATAGTACTGGATCACTTTCCCATTCAATTTAACCTCACCTGGTTAAATTGTCCTTGCCATACAATGATCTCCTTGGTAATGTTGACCTCTTTTCCTGGTAAAGCTGAGGGATCCATTCTTCCAACCTTTATTCTAATGATGGATTGGTTTGGGAAAGTGACCCAGTTGATTATGTCAAATCCAGTTGCTAATTCTCCATTGGTATTAAAATATACTTCTTCTCCAGCACTGTTGTTAAATGAGATGCTCTTCAAAAAAGAATAAAGCTGTAAGGAATAAAAAAAAGAAGTCTATCGTACTGAAAGGGGATGAGTATGTGTTTCTGAAAATGCCATGATTGGACACCAATATTTATAGTTAGAGTAGGGATAAGCAAATATTTCAATCTTTACATTTTTTTTTTTAAATCCCTGACTGTGTTTTGAATCATTTCCTCAATATATTACAATTTTGGTAAGAAAGTTCAGAGCCATATATACCTTTCCTAATATCACTTTCCCAGGTTTAGAGATTTTGCCTAATCTACGTGTAGGTTTGTACCTAATGAATTTTATGACTTGCTGTGATTTATTTGTAGGACATTTTGGAGATATCTTGAGAGGCTACCCAGAAACAAGCCACTGGGTACTGAAAGACCCAGGAGTTCTTAAAGAACTCAATCATGAAATTGCTCAGCTCCTAGCAGAAATGTAACTTCAATTTGATTCTCATTCCCAGTTTGATGGCTTTTTCACTTGTTCGTTGACTTTGGGGTAAGCAGTGAGCTGGCCAAGTTCGAAGATGATAACAGATTATTCAGGGTAATAAAAATCAAAAAGTGAATGACCTTCTCTCAGCTTGCTAGGTAACCAAGATGAAATATGGTTAGGACATTGAGCAGGACTATCAAGGGTTTTCAGGGCTATAGGCTAGATGGGGAGGTTGGCAAAATGTGACAGAAGGCGGCAGAGGGAAACCACTTCCATTCTGTTGCTAAGAAACTGCAAGGATGTATTGAAGGAGACTTTACTTCTTATTGCAGGTCAGGATGTTTGGATGCAAGGAAAAAATAGATAAGTAGAGGACATATTCTTTTCCTCTCTTTAATAAAAAAGTAACAGTTTCCCAGATATGAAGAACCAATACCTATAAACAGAAGAGGAGGAGTAAGAGAAGAAAGACACTCAGATCAATGCCATATTTCAAATAACATCATATTCAAACAGCGGGCACCCAAATGTTTTTGAGAAGCAGGAAAAAACTCAAGGAACTCAAATCAAAAGACAGAATTCAGATCACGTACTTTGGTGTTGTTCATTCAACACATACAACTAGCTCGGTTAACTTGACTTGTAAAATGTAAGTATTAAAGAAAGAAGATTTTTGCGTGTGAAGAAATTGTTGAGCATGAAGCATGCAAAGCAAATTAGATTTTCGAAGAGGACAGCAGATACCTAAGGAAACTGAATACTCTATCCAAATGATATCCTTCCAGAGACTAGTTTTCTTATACAACTAGACCTGATTTTGATAAGAAACATTACCTGCCAACATTGCAGTTTGAGATGGTCACCTCCCCCTTCATTTGTCTTGTATTTATATTTGGATCTTGATGAGTGCATGGCCTGTAAAGCATGGGCTATAGTGTGCGCCGCATTGTAGATGCTATAGCTTTGGCCAGTCATGCTCATTTCAAAATACGGTCCAGGAATGTTCTCTAGCTCTTCATCTCCACTGCAGATTGCCTGTTTCTCCTCATCCATATCGAAGTCTGATAATGAACAGTTAAATGCATGCTCCCAGAAGACTCTGATAAAACCATCTCCTTTTGGATAAAGAGGATTTAGACTCCGAAGGAAATTTTGGAACTCTAGTAGTTCACTGGAGTGAATGCTGAAGGATAAAGCACCATGGAAGACTTGGGTGTTCAGTCCCTGTTGAAATGTGTGTGATACGAAAGACCATTCAGCAGTCATAATCCAGACCTTACTTATAGCTGATATTGTCATGCCCATCAATATTGCCATATACATTAACCCACTCAAAGCAAACACAGTGTGAGTATGTGCATTTATGATAACAACATTGGTCTTCTTGAAAGAAGACAGCATTATCTCCACACGGTCAAACAAGGCTACAAGGTCATACAGAGCAGACAAGGCAGATGGTATTCTTTCAATAAAACCAGTACAGATGCCACCCTGAGAAAGCTTTGGAGTCAATGTTTGGATGAAATGTATTCCTTGGTCATCATCCTTTGCAATGATCCCAACCCACGTCCATTCAAAATGCAGAAGGAGCTGGACAATCCCAGTGTACTGAAGTGCTTCATTGGGAACCATCTGGTAGATAGAAGGAAACATGGCTTTATAATTCATCACAGGAACAAGGAAGGAATATGTGATCTAAGGAAAAAATAAAATGTAAGGGGAGCTTATATAGTCTTATATGCAAATTAACTCTGCCAAATACTATTTGCTAAGGAAAATCAGTATTTTCATATAGTAAACAGTTCCTAAATTTAGTGATCCTATGTCATCAGTCTCCTTGCCTCTTGCTTTTCTTTCCATAGCTGCATCCATTTACTAGTGACTCTTGAAGCAATGAACGCCATCGTATTTCAGAGAGAAAGGATTTGCCAGATATCTTTAAATTTTGAATATTTAAGAAAAAGTTCTGCTAATCATGTTCTTATTTGTCATCATTCTCAATTTTTCAAGGATTTTGTCTGCCAAATTTAGTGTGAATAGCTTAAAAAAATTAAGTGACACAGTTTTAAGATTTGTGTTTATTAATATAATGATCCATTATTGTATTTGTAAACTGGGCAGAATCTTGGGATAGAGATGGTATATAAATTAATGTAATAATTATATTACATTTTATATACATATATAAGTACATGTATATATGTGTATGTGTATATGTGTGTATGTGTGTGTGTATGTGTATATATATGTATATCTTTTTTGTTTTATTTCATTTTAATGCATTTTTATTTGTAATTCTGGTCTGTGACTAGAATAAAATATTGCAAATTGACTGAAAGTATATTCCGATTTTATATGTATTGTTTCTTATAGTAAAAGAGCTTGAATTAAGGATTGGATTTATGTTTATAAATGGCATTTGGAGGGAAAATGCTATCTATACACCATTGCAAGTTTAAAAGGCATATCATTCAGGAAATTAATTTCAAAAGTTATTTTTTTCAACATCAACACGAGGAGAGGTTCTTTCCCTTTGCCTGAATTTGCCTGAATTCTAAAACCTTATTTTCCTTGGAGAATTCTTTCATTTTTAAATGACCAAGAACAATATAATCTACTTTGGGTCAGTCTTAACTTTCTGTGTTTCACTTGCCTGTTTTATGAGTATAGTTACCTGTGGAACTTTGTAAAGGCTTATGATGTCAGCTATATGGAAAGCGGTTTCAGAGTTAAGTCCCCCAATGACAGATACCAGATTCTTCTGAATGCCACAGCTGTAGTTGGGAACAAATCTATGCCAGTTGGACACAAAATCCAGGCTGTTCTGATAAGTCATCCTTGCCTCAAAATAGTTGTCATAGATATGGAATCCTAAAGTGATATTAGGTAATATGCTGGGCTTCTCATTGATCTCCTTCACAGCAAATACCAAAGACAGAACATGCTGATAATTCTTCAGGGCAGTGCTGAAACAAGTCAAACGTATAAATTGTATAAATTGAATTCACTCTCAACTTCTCTGGAAAGTGTGTCTCCCCCAGCAAGACCCTCCAACATCCAATCTATGTAGATCTTCTGGGTTTAGATACATGCAGGCTCTATACTATAAATTGACAAAAAAGATCACCCAAAGAATGTACTCAGGTCACATGTAACTGTTTTTTCCCCCTTCAGGCCCGGTTATATAGTTCTGAGGACACAGACAGGGTCTGTTGCAATAAGAATGGAATGGCTACTCTTTCTATCCCATAATTATTTTAGGAGCTGGATGCAGGCAGAAGGTTAGTCGACATGTCAAAAGAAGCAGTCAGTGGAACAGAGATTCATGGATAGGCAAAGGAAGAAAGAAGAAAGAAAAGGAAATGTAAAATTATGTGGCTTTGGTGGAGAAGAAAGTTGATATACAATTTCATATGCCTCTATGCATCCTAGATCATCTTCAATATTTGTTTTATGGATCCATTATAAATAGCTAGATCACTCTGAAATTATAGTTCACTGTAATTGCTTTCTCTACAGCTTCCTTTATTTGTTGTATGCAATTGTTCTTACATGGGCTTGTCTGTAGACTTTGTTTCTGGGGGTTCATTGAAAGATACAAAGTCACCAGGAGAAAAAAGGTGAGAGACAACCCCAGCAATGACAAGGTCTCCTGGCTGATAGCATTCAGGTGGGAAAGAGAGGTCATCTTTCATGCTGCACATGAAACTGTGCACCTCGGATTCAGCAAGAGGC